GGCCATTTCTTTACATTCTTTCCCCCCTTATGATGAGCATTATGAAATTTGTATAATTTTGAAAGGCTAGCGCACTTCACTGGTAGAGCTTATCTCAGACCAAAAGTAGTTATTTTTTTCACTTCTCTGATTTGACTTGAATGATCTGTGCATTATACTTTTTAAAATGCAGAAGCTTTTGTTTATATCTCTTCCTTGTAACATTAAATTGTTGTAGTATTGTTAATTTTGAGGTTAATGTAAATTTTATCCCAGCAGATTAATTCTGATTTGCATTCTTTTGGGGGGCATACTTTCCAGTTACACAGTGGCACTTATTTTATCATATTGCTTTTATATACTTTTCCTTTATAAACAGGGAGTGATGTGCTTTCTTGCTCACTTTTTCTTTTCTTTTCTTTTTTTTTTCTTTCACTTTTTCTTTTAAAAAGAAAAACACTGGGATGCCTGGGTGGCTCGGCGGTTGGGCTCAGGGCATGATCCTGGAGACCCCGGATCGAGTCCCATATCGGGCCTGCTTTTCCCTCTGCCTGGGTCTCTGCCTCTCTCTCTGTGTGTGTCTCTCATGAATAAATAAAATCTTTATTTTTTTAATTTTTTACGATTTTATTTATTCATAGAGACACAGAAAAAGAGAAGCAGAGACCCAGACAGAGAGAGAAGCAGGCTCCATGCAGGGGGCCCAACATGGGACTCGATCCTGGGTCTCCAGAATCACACCCCGGGCTGCAGGCAGTGCTAAACTGCTGTGCCACCGGGGCTGCCCAAATAAAATCTTAAAAAAAAAAAAAGGAAAGAAAAACACTGATGCCCTAAGATAAGGCACTGTGTTTTGGTACACACTTGAGTTTTGATCAAGAGTTATGTTTTCAAATTCAAATGAGAATCTGTAAGCCTGAGTAGGAGACATTCAGCCCTATTTACTAATTAATAAGGAATTTTGATCTAGATGTTAGGAGAAACTGAAATTTTCCCTGTGTAGTTAGAGGATTTCAGGGGTATAAGTTAACATTAATTTGTGAAAGCAAGCTTACAAAATTTCTCTAGTCTCCAGGCTTTATAGGTCATCATGCTGTCCTAATAAAGTATGCCAGGCGTATAGTGGGCACTCCAAAAGCCTGTTCCTTCGGGATCCTTTAAGCACCTAGATATACATGGCACCGTGCCAGCAAAATTACACAGTGCATAGAGAGAGAGCTACCTCAAGATTATTTAAAAATCTATACTGGAAGTTCTTTCCCTCACTGTACAAAGATTTCTCACTCAATTCTTGATATATTTTGCATGTATATAGGCGAGAGTGGTGGTGATATTTATGTTCACCCGTGGGGGAAGGAGATGGCCCTGACCACTGTGAGATAGATTGTTGGGTTCTTTCTGTTCAGGTATGTTTTAGCTTCCAGTAGCCCTCCTTCCCTGCTCCTCTTCCCCTCTTCCACTATCACACATGCAAATCAGCAAAAGAATTAGGATAACCTCTGGAACCAGTTTTTCCTAGATAGGGAGATGGTTCCATAGAGTATTAATGTGTAAGGTGGTCTTATTTTAAAAGCTTATCTGACTTAATGTGCTAATTAGAAACCTAGATTCTGGGGCACCTGGATGGCTCAGTGGCTGAGTGTCTGCCTTCAGCTCAGGTCATGATCCCAGGGTCCTGGGATCGAGTTCCACATTGGGCTCCTCACAGGGAGCCTGCTTCTCCCATTGCCTGTGTCTCTGCCTCTCTCTGTCTTTCATGAATAAATAAAATTTTTTTTAAGAAAAAGAAGAAACCTAGAATCCTAGTGATAAATGGAATTTTCGAATCTTTTCCCTTTTTTTTTTTTTTTTACCAAGTTCAGAAGTGTCGTCGAGGTACCTGGCTGGCTCTGTTGGTGAAGAATACAACTCTTGATCTTGGGGTTTTAGGTTTGAGCCCCATGTTGGGTGTAGAGATTACTTCTAAATAAAACTTTATTTATTTTTAAGATTTTATTTGTGAGAGAGAGACAGAGAGAGGCAGAGACAGGCAGAAGGAGAAGCCGGCTCCTTGGAAGGAGCCCAATGTGAGACTCAATCCTGGGACCCTAGGATCATGACCTGAGCCAAAGACAGATGCTCAACCACTGAGAGTCTCTTTGTTAAAGAGAGAGAGAGAATACAGATGGTGAGGAGCAGAGGGAGAGTGCTGAACCCATGAAGCTCGACCCCTGACATGATCTGAGGTGAAATCAAGAGTTGGACACTTAACTGACTGAACCACCCAGGGACCCCTCAAATCTTTAAAAAAAGAGAAAGGTCTTATTAGGTCTTTGCCTCATGGTCATTTATTTTCTTTCTTTACACTTGTCATGATAGGGACCTCACTACCCTCTAAGGCAGCCCATTCTATGATCATTGGAAAGCTCTCCTTCTGGCCTGCCTGTGGTGGAACAGTGTGGAACTTCTATGTCACCCATGACTAAGCTATTTTTTTTTCATGACTCAACTATTTTAAATGAGTATTTCTTTTCATTAGATGGAAATTACTCAGGGCAAGGATCACGTTTGACTAACCTCCTTTCCTTCTAGTGCATTGAACATAGGCACTCAATAATGTTTAGGAAATAAATTCTCAGTTTCTTATGATTTTATGATTAACTGGAAGTTGGGCTAAATATTATTTTGCCTGTATTTGAATTAGAAACAGCGTAAATGGGCCTTTGTGGAATAGATAGTCATGATCAGGGGTTTTCCCCGTTGGTTAAAATGGAAGTAATTCCCCAATGCTTTCGGACCACAAATACACTTTGAGCATTCATAGCAAATGATCCCATTAGATAAGAAGAAATCTCTTTTCCTTTTTATTTGTGGACCTCATCCTTCTGAAAGAGCAGTACAAGCTATGAACTTCCTATACTGATCATTTTACTTGTCTTCAAGAAGCTGAAGGAGTAGTTGGGGGATGCCTTTAGGAAAAAACCCTGGGAAACTTTAAGACAAAGAAAACTCAGAAACTGGTGATCCTATGTACCCAGAAGTATACCCAGGAAGACTTACCCCCACTGAGAGTGTCTGGATTCATGTGCAGAACTCTCTGGGGTTTTAAAATCCCAGGGTTTTTTTTTTTTTTTTTTTTTTTTTTTTTTTTTTTGCAGTATTATGTGATATACCAGCTGAACATTGCTACAAATCATTCCTTACTAAATGGCCCAGGGTTTGACACTAAGGGCCTGAAAAGGATCCTGGTTGGCAGCCCCTAGTTTGTGCTTAAGGACACTGAGGCTCTAAAGCACCAGTCACTTTCTGAAGGAACACAGCTGCCCTCAGGCAGAACCTGAGTCTAGAACTCAAGTTTTTTGACTCTTAGTCTAAAAATAAAACATTAGAAGAGGCAGAGACTGTTGATTGTGTACTTGGCCACATTTTAAATGTTACAGCCAAGTGGGGGTTGGGAATTAGGCTTTTTTTTTTCCTTCCTCAAAATCATTTTTCGTTTCCTGGTGCTTCCTGCTTCCTGCCATTACTGTAGCTGCTCTAAGCCAGGGTCCCTCAGGACCATGTTCCTGCGAGGCCACCCTGCGTGCCCCTTGGCCGCCCACCCAGTGCGCCCCTCTGGCTTCCAGGCACTTGGCAGCCAGGGCTGATTGATTATGCTCTTCTCCTGGCCTCCTGCTCCACCACCGTTGTCTGAGGACACCCTGTCAGAGCCACCCTCACGTGGCCACCCACAGCTGCCTGCAGCCGGCCCCCTGGGTTGCCAGCATTCAGTGCAAGTTTAGCAGATTTCCATCCATTTCCCCCTTATTTGCCCTCCCAAAGGTAGCTCCTCACAGCTGCACCTGCTACCTCCAGGTTCCTTCTGTCCTCCGGTAATAATCTACTGCGCTCAACTCACTAGCCAGCCTGGTGGGTTTTTCCTTTCATCTTGTTCATTGATTCCCCAGCCTCTCAGGCTTCAGCCCTTGCAAGCATCCTCCCTCCCTTCTTTCCACTGCCGGGTGAGTTTTGCAGGCACAGCCATTGTGTGTGTATGTGTGTGTGTATGTGTGTGCGCAGTGTTTGTGGAGCCCATTCCTTTCCTGCACCATCCCCAGGCCTTCACCCAGCCCTTCTGCAGTTGCAGTGATTTATGGACTTCTCTGCCTGTATCCATCTTGTCTCCCTGCCAGTCCATTGTTGGCACAGTTGCCAGACGAAGCTTCTTCAGATGCTGCATTTTTGAAGTCAGGCATCCCTGGTGCATCTCAAAAACATTAAATTAGCTCCTCGTTCTCCTAGGAAAGTCTAAACTTCTCAGCTCCTCATTCGGAGCCCGCTGTGGGCAGGTGCCTGCTTTCCTTGGCTACTTCTCTCCCTCCTCTATGGGCCGCAGCCTGTGTCATCGGCTTAGTGCTTCCTGGGTCACCCTTGTTCCTCCTAGTCTCAAAGTCTTTAGCTCTTTCCTGGAGCCTTGTCTGCCAGCCATTCTTTTCAGGTCTTTGCTGATGGTTACTGGCTCTCCCACTCGTTCATCTGACGCTCAATTCACTAAGCAAATATTACAAAAGACATGCTGTTTTGTGCCTGAGGAGTGGAGTATAGAGGGTATAAGAGAGGTCTCTGTGGCCAGGAAGCTCACCTATGTCATCTGGACTCTATCTTTCTGTGTTTGTATCTACTGGATTGGAAGTGTAAAGGCAGAGGCAGAGGCCCAGCCTAATGTCTTAAAATTCAAGAATTAAAAAGTCAGCAGCACATGTCCACCCGGCAAGTGTTCTGTACAGGCTGACCTGCCATGAGAGCTGCTAGTCCACCTCCATTAAGACTGCTTGGAATTTCTTATTTACCTGTTTTGACATTTTTTAAGTTATTAAATTCTGTATATTCCCATTTTAGCCTAGCGTCAGTTGTAACATTAAAATTAAGGTAGAAATCCAGGAACATAAAGTCTTCAGTGAAGTTAAAAGACTTAATTAGATAAGGTTATTTAAGATAGTGATTTCTCATTAGACTGGCCTTGCCTGTATTAACTTTTCTGCCTTTTTTTTTTTTTCCTTCAGTCTGCATGAAGAAATCAGTGATTTTTATGAATATATGTCTCCAAGACCGGAGGAGGAGAAGATGCGGATGGAAGTGGTGAACAGGATCGAGAGTGTGATTAAGGAGCTCTGGCCCAGCGCTGACGTGAGTACCTGTATGGGTGGTAGGCTGCTGAGGGTAACGTGCCTGACCACAGGATGGAGAGTATCTCAGGAGTCCTCACACACAGGTCTCTCTGCATCTGAACACTCAGGGTCCAGTTGAATTTTAAACAGTTTTTTCTAGCCTTTAGAATCTGGAGCATCCTAATTTTTTGTGATGAATTGGATGACTTAGTTAAAACTATTTCTTTGCAGTGCTGAATAGCAATACTAGAGGTAACTATATTTAGGAATCATTAGTTGACAGAGAAGATAGACCAGGCTTTCTTAGAGTAGTATGTTATGGATCTGATGTATGAAAATCCCATAACTGTTTTGTTTCACCCTGCCAGTGTAAATGTTATGTCATTCTTTATAGCTGAATGAAAATGTCAAGTAGGCATTTCTTGTGTCATTAGAAGTTCAGTTTCTTAGGCTAACGCAGGCCTAAGTCTGTTTTCCTTTCTTAACGTTGCTGTTTCCTCCTTTCTGGCTCTTCCTTGTCTCCCTGTGCAGTCCTACCCAGTGAACAGAACCTTGGCCTGAGAATTCCTCTTTGCTTATTTGTGGTTCCTATTGTTGAAACTAAGTGAATACTTTTTTGGGCTTTTATTTATTTTTTATTTTTTTTAAATGAGAGTCTGTTCTGCAATTCAAAGAAGTTAGAATCCATTACTCTGTGTTAATGGCTTTTCTTGAGACTTTGTTGTAGGATGGTGATGAGGGAGCCGGGGAAGTTCCTTTTGTCCAGTTGGCAAAACAGAAAGGCTTCCAATAAGATACTATAGGGGAAATGTTGGGAGCGAGGGTGGAGGACTGCTATTTTATTGAGCAGTTGTGTGGTGACATTGATTCTCCTGTGTGATCCAAATCCATGGCTTTCAGTGGCAGGGGAGTTTGCCACCCAGGGGTCCCTTGGCAATGTCGGAGACATTTTTGATTATTGTTAACTGGTAAGGTGCTCTTGGCTTATAGTGGGTAGAGGCCAAGGATGTTCCTAAACATCCTACAATGCACAGGACAGCCCCTGGCAGACAGCTGTCTGCTGTGAATGTCGGTCATGCTGGGGTTGAGAAACTCTGATTTAAATTAATCATCCTCCTTTGGAGGTGGGAGGTTTTATCCATATTTTTGTTCCCAGAAGAGAGACATGTAGCTGCGATTCTGTTCCTGGGTCCATCTCACTTCCGAGGCCGAGCATTTTGGTCATTCGCTAGTTTTTACTTCAGTTCCTCACCTACCTCAAGTCTTCCACTGTGCTTGCTCACTGGCTGAGATAGGATGGGTCTGTTTTTATGCCTCACCACGATGTTAGGATGCTGGTTTTGTGGAGCTGGTCTGCTGCTGGAGTAGTCTGACCCTAACTCAGGGACCCATGAAAAAATTCCTGCTCAGGGAACCAAAATTAAGCCTTTGTTGAACACATCTCTAGCTTATAAGGAACATGAGTGGCTAAATATTACTTTTGAAAGTTTTCTATTTCAATCTGTGCATTTGATATTTTAACCTGGTAAGTTTAAACTATATTCCTACTGTCTGCATATGAGAGCCAGCATCCCATCTCTGCTTCAGGAAAATGGTATTATAAAAAAAAAAAAAAACGCTCTTGTAGTACTAAAAACTACCAACAGAGGGTAGCAAAACCCTGATATTTATCTATAGCATGGTGGCTTTTCATCTGATAGATACTTTAATGTTGTAATGATTTTTTGTATTTCAGGTCCAGATATTTGGAAGTTTTAAAACTGGCCTGTATTTGCCTACTAGGTTAGTACATTTATGAAGCTTTCAGGGGGTTGTGCCTTTTTCTAGATTTTGACTATTGAAGGTGGAAGAGTAGAAACAAAATAAATTTATGAAATGAAAATTCACTTTATATTTGAATTACCTTGAGGGTGGAACATCACTTCAGATGATCCTCTCAAACTGACACCTGTATCATCTGGGAGAGATGTAGCAATGGACTCAGATAACAATTTCAGCAATTGACTACTTGCCTGCAGAGAACTATTCATCTCCATAACTTAACCCACTAATGCGGATGTTGATGTCATATTATGGCAGAACACCTGGCTATATTGTAGAGCTGTGTATACTCTGGAATGCCAGGGCTGTCGTTTCTTTTTAAGAACTCATACTATTAGCAGTTGTTTCAGCATCCTGACCCCAAGCTTCAGGGTGTAGACTTCTCTGAGGAAGACCTCTTACTAGTTTTAATCTTCTTAAATGAGGGCAGTCATGACCCACCGCCTGGGGCAGGGCAGGCCTTTTGAGGGATGATGAGACTTGCCCAAGGGGTGAATACTTGTTTTCTATAAACTGAAATTTCAGCATGTGTTTGTTTTTGCTTTTATTGTGGTTAAGAAACTTACTGTGAGATTTACCCTTCTAACAAAGTTTTGACTGCACAGTACAGTATGATTTTAACTATAGGCATCCATCATGTTTTTTATTTGAGCTTGATTTGATCTACTTTACCCAAACTTAAAATGTGTTGATGTGGAGAGAACCTAGCAATTTCTGTTCTGCCCATTGCTATCATAGGCCTATAAAAGCCGTAAAGTATCCAACTGTGAGTTCATGAATGTTTTTCCTTATTTAGATTCTGAGTTTCAACAAAACCCTGAGTCACTCTAAAAAAATTTAATTGAATTTTCTGAATATGTAGTACTTTCACATAGTTCAAATGGAAAGGGTATGACAATAATTATAGTGAAAAGTGCAGACCCCACCTGTGTCCCCTGCTCCTTGGAGGAGGCACTGGTCCCAGTTTCTCGTACATCCTTGCAGGAACATTCTATACATATGAAAGGAAATGTGTGTGTGTCTTCTCCCCTTTTCACCCAAGTGGTGGCATCCTACCTGCATTGTTTGCAACTTACTTTTTACAGTTAATTATTTAAATCAGAGTTAATCAGTGAATCTCATCCATATAGGCACATCTTAAGTGTTTGAGTTCCAGAAACTTTTATGAACAAGAAATGTTCAGTGTTGTTTTTTGAGGGTTTACTTCTTTCAAAATCACCTTGTTTCCTGAGGCCTGACTTCGTGAAATGACTAGGAGGAGATGGTTGTTAAAAGTCACCAGCCTCCACTTCCCCTCTAAAGACATGTTGGGTCTTCACTAGGTAGTGTGACCAGTGGGTTTTAAGTGCACTACTTTGAAGTCTGGAAGCCCAAATGTAAGTGGATACAAGTACAGTTTCTTCTTCAAACAACTTGTGTGTTTGTGTTCTGTGTTCAGTGACATTGATCTTGTGGTATTTGGGAAGTGGGAGAACCTTCCCCTCTGGACCCTGGAAGAAGCCCTGCGGAAACACAAAGTTGCAGATGAGGATTCGGTGAAAGTTCTAGACAAAGCAACAGTAAGTTCTTCCAACATTTCATCACATCTCCAGTTACTTATGCATGAAAGTTAAAAATTCAAATTTAATTTTGGTGAGCATAGTTGGCTTCTCACTAAAAGATTCTTTCCTTCCATTAGTGATCACAGTCCTCATATGTAAATTTGGTCTGTGAAACAAAGGAACTTGTGGTTACATAGTTCTTTAAAAAATAATACTCGGGGATTCCTGGGTGGCTCAGTGGTTTAGTGTCTGCCTTTGGCTCAGGGCGTGATCCTGGAGACTCGGGAGCGAGTCCCACGTTGGGCTCCTTGCAGGGAGCCTGCTTCTCCCTCTTCCTGTGTCTCTGCCTCTCTCTCTCTCTCTTTCTCTCTGTTGCTCATGAATAAATAAATAAATAAAAAATACTCAATTTTATCATGCATAATACTCACTGTAGAGTTTTTAAATATAAAAAAGTTTAGAGGCACTTGGATGGCTCAGTTGGCTGTGTGCTTCCAGCTCAGGTCATGATCCCAGGGTCCTGGGATCAGCCCCACATGGAGGTCCCTGCTCAGCGGGGAGTCTGCTTCTCCCTCTTCCTCTGCCCTTCACCCTGCCCATGCTCTCTCTCTTTCTCTTTCTCTCTCTCTGTCAGATAAATAAAATCTTTAAAAATATATTAAGAATAAATAGAAATATGGCTATCTATTAAACAGTTTTAAAAAAATAAACAGTTTATAGTTAACAGAAGATGTTGCTCTTCTATCTTTACGTCCTTGAGAAGCTGTATGTACTGTTGACTCCTGAACAACATGGGGGTCCTGCTACACAGTTGAAAATCCACCTGTAAATTGGGACACCCTAGAGATTACTAGGAGCCTTCTGTTGACTGGAAGGATTACTGATAACATAAACAATTAGCACATATTTTGTATTTATAAGTATTATATACTATATTCTTATAAAGTAAGCTAGAGGAAAGAAAATGTTAAGAAAATCATAAGGAAAATGCACTTACAGCATTGTGTAAAATTGTGTAAAAGTGGAGCCACATAGTTTTAACTTGTGTTGTTCAAGGGTCAACTGTAAATTGAAATTTTGTAGATCAAATAACTTGATATTTTAATTCTATCTAGAATGGCCATTAAAGAACCTTCACGGATGCTCATTATAGAAATGAATTTATCTATTTTATAAGTTTGGAGTTTTGGGGGTTCCTGGGGGTGACTCAGGTGAAGTGTCTGCCTTGGGCTCAGGTCATGATCCTGGGGTCCTGGGATTGAGCCCTGCATCCGGCTCTCTGCTCAGTGGAGAGTCTGCTTCTCCCTCTTCCTCTGCCTCTCCCTATGCTGACATTCTTTCTCTCTGTCTCTTGCTTGCTTCCTCTCAAATACTAAGTAAAATATTTTAAAAAAAAGGTTTGGAATTTTGATGTTAGGTTTTCTTAGAACAAAACAACTCATACAGTTTCTTATAAAAAGCTATTAATTTGAAAAACCAGTTCTGCACATAGTGTTTGCTGGCCTGAGTTTTCTAATACATGGTGCAAATAGAATAGAGCCTTTAAAAATTTTTTTTAATTTAAGTAATCTTTATAACCAGGCTCAAACTCACAATCCTGAGATCAAGAGTCACATGCTTTTCTGACTGAGCCAGGTGCCTCAGAGCCTTTTTTTTTTTTTTCCAATTTAAATTCAATTTAGTGGGCAGCCCTGGTGGCACAGCGGTTTAGCACCGCCTACAGCTCAGGGCGTGATCCTGGAGACCCAGGATCGAGTCCCACATCGGGCTCCCTGCATGGGGCCCGCCTCTCTCTCTGCCTCTCTTTCTCTCTCTCTCTCTGAATGAATAAATAAATAAATCTTTAAAAAAAAATAATAAATTCAATTTAGTTAACATATACTATAATATTAGTTTTATGTTATTCGTTTCAGGGGTAGAATTTAATGATTCATCAGTTGCATACAACACCCGGTGTTATATCACATGCCCTCCTTAATGCCCATCACCCAGTTATCCCATCCCCCTACCTCTCCTTCAGCAACCGTTATTTTGTTTCCTAGAGTTAAGAATATCTTATAGTTTGCCTTTTTTTTTAAGAATTTCTAATATCTCATATAAATCATTCAGTCATTTTTTTGAGAATAATTCTTATGTCTTCTCTAGGTTGTTTTATGGGCTGTTTGCAAAACTGACCAATAAATACCGGTGAATTTTTGTGTTTGACCTAATCTAGCAGCTTTCTAATTAGGAACAGTTTGCTGAAAGGCCTGACATTCGTAATTCTTGATGTTACACTGAGTTGGAAACTGTTCTCCAAACTACAAAATATTGAGAGAGGCTTTTGTTCCTGATTTAAAAACTCTCAGCCAATAGAAATAAAAAAAATACACTGTATGAAGTTCAATGCTAAATACATAAAGTATCTAAAAGGCCAAGTGACTATGGTATGTAGTATTGAGGACACTCTAGAGTTTTTATGTCCTCAGGAGGAGGTCGAGGCCTCAAGTCAAGTAACCTTTCTATCCCCTGATTGTATTGTTTAATTTGGTTCAAGTATTTTAATTTTGTCTTTCTTCTCTTTCTAGGTACCTATTATTAAATTAACAGATTCTTTTACTGAAGTGAAAGTTGATATCAGCTTTAATGTACAGAATGGCGTGAGAGCAGCTGACCTCATCAAAGATTTTACCAAGGTCAGAGAATTCATAGTGTTTATTCAGTGAGACTGTTAGAAATGGAGTTTTGTTTTGAGATTCTGTTGTGATCGTGTTCTGATTCACTTTGCTAAACTATTTTTACGGATTTTTTGCCGACAAGTGCTTCTTTTCTGTCCAGTGGCCTGCCTTTCCTTGAATCTGCTTGTAATAATCAGTAATTTATAATGTGACCTCAAGTCCAGGGTTCGGAAAGCTTTTGAAGAACTTCTTTGCTCTAGATCATTCCTTTTATGGGAGATAAGGGCTGAAATGCTGAGTAATCATTCTTGTCTGCTTTTAATCTCTTAAGAGTTTAGGTTAAAAACTTTCCCAAGGCCCCCCAGTCACTTGTAAGGTAGTTCCTGCAGATTTCCCTACTTTGTCATGAGGTGATTTAGTATCTATTTTCCTTTGTTAGGTGTTCTTCCAAGACAGGGAAGAATTTTTCAGCATCTTCAGAACATTTACATGCTTAGACATGTCAGCCTTTTTCGCCTTAAGCTGAACACTGTTAACTGCTTTGGCTCATGTAGAATATCTTTTCTGTCCATTCAGAACAATACTTTTCTTTATCAACTCTACAGATTCACCTTTTTCTTTTTTTTTTTTTAATTTTTAATTTATTTATTTATGAGAGAGAGAGAGAGAGAGAGAGAGAGAGGGGGGCAGAGACACAGGCAGAGGGAGAAGCAGGCTCCATGCACCGGGAGCCCGATGTGGGATTCGATCCCGGTCTCCAGGATGGCGCCCTGGGCCAAAGGCAGGCGCTAAACCGCTGCGCCACCCAGGGATCCCACCTTTTTCTTTTCTTTGTAAGAAAAAAATTGAGCTACTTTATCATGTAGTAAACATTAGATTCTCCTAGAAATGTGCAGAGTATAGGAAAACAGAGAAAGAGATTATCCATTATCCTACTCTTTTGGAGGTGTTGAGTATGTGTAAATTTTTTTCTCCCAGAAAAGAAATCTTTTTAAAATTGAGAACGATATGCATGATAGTTTATTCATATCAAAGGAAAACAAAAAATACCTTATGCTTAGATCAGTTTCATGGGACTTGCCATCACCAACCTTTCTTTTTGGCTTGTTTATCCCCTTGAAATTTTTAACAAACAGAATAGCATGCTATATACACATCGTCTCATACTTTTTGGAGGTTTTCATTCATTCATTCATTCATTCATTCATTTATTTATTTATTTATTTATTTATTTATGGAGGTTTTCATATCAGCACAGACAGGTTTCCTTCATTCTTTTCATTGATGACATAATAGTCCTTTCTCAGAAGATACCATGCTTTGTGTAGCTCTCCCCTGGTGATGTTTCTAGGGTTTTTTACTATTACAGAAAGTGCTTAAAAGAACATCCTTCTATATGTGCATCTTTCTTTATGCTTGTAAAATTGTTGGAAGATTCTGGAAGTGGAGTTTCAGGGTCAAAGAGTATAATACAGATCAGATTCTTTTGGAAATTTACCTAATTGTTCTTTAAAGAGACCATCTGTTTATGGCTTCAGCCATAATGTTTAAAAATGATTATTTCTCCATAGATTTGTTATTCCTCAGGCTTGCTTGCTTTGACATGATTTGCAAAAGTATAGACTTTTTACTTTCTTATAGAAACAGAATGTGTTCATTCTAGATGTCAAGAACAAACTAGAAATTACTAGTAATTCTCCCATTCCTAGGTAATGACTATTAAGACTTCTTTCTAGATGTTGGGTCTGCTGTGTTCCCTCAGCATCCTTAGCCTAGGGCCTGGCTTGTGGAGAATACTTAATGAGTACATGCATGAATGAAAGATGGACTCACACTGGCCCATGTTTGCCAGCTTGGGTGTTCTCACCTATCTCTGTAAATCGTGGAAGGTGAGTCTGTGTGTGGTCACCTGCCCACAGGGAAGACAGCAGGCAGGAAAGTTCCTGGACTGTGCACAGTCATCTGAAGGACCCTGATCTACTTGGTGGAGTGCCACCTTAGAAAAAGGATTCCTTAAAATCCCACTGATTTAGTGCTTTACGGGTTGAGAATTTGTCCTGTACTCTGTTACCTGTTTACAAGTGAATAGCATATGGTAATGGCCATAAAGAAGTGTCATCAAAAATATATCGCTGGTGTTTCTCTCCCATGGTGAGTGCTAGGATGCCATGATTTATGTCTTCATGTTGTAGATTTTTAGATGTGAGGAGAAAATCTTTAATTACTGATAACTTATACTTTTTTTTTTCTATCTTGCTCTTAAAATAGAAAGTTAAATGTATTGGATATCTCCACTAAAGTTTGTAATGTTAGGACCAGCTTATGCTCCTGTTAATGCTTATTAGCACAATTACTGAAATAGGAATTCACTGAAAATATAATTTTCTTTTTTCAGAAATATCCTGTATTACCATACTTGGTTTTAGTATTGAAGCAATTCTTATTACAGAGGGACCTTAATGAAGTATTTACAGGTGGAATTGGTTCTTATAGTCTCTTTTTAATGGCAGTCAGTTTCCTTCAGGTAAGTTGTTTGATTATACCTTGTTTAGTGTACACTAAAATAAAATTTTTAAAAATCAATTCAGAATCATTTTGGAAAAAATTTAAGTCAAGCTCTAATTGGAATACTTCCTTTATTTACTTATGACTTTTCTCTTTAAGCTGAGTACCTGTTTATAATTTAACAAATAAGTATTTTTAAATCCCAGGAAAGAATATTTTTAATCTCATACGTTCTAGTAGTTTTGAGAATTTTCACTCAAATTTTGACATCCATAGGTATGACATGATTTTCATAAGTATAAATAGTAGTATAAATGCCAAAAATAAGAATATCTTTTAAGCAACTAATCCTGGAAGTTCAGCTGGAATTGAAGTCTGCTATCTGGGTAGAATGAGTTTGAAGTCTTAATATTGTGTTGAATGTGTTTATGAAGCACGGTGTTGCCAGCTGCCTGACTCTGCTCATCAGAATGACTTCCCTGGTGTGTTGGACCTCATCAGCTGTGTCAGCTTCCTGGGGCATCTTAATCAAAATCATAATAGTACTGTTTTTATAGAAGTTAGGATGTCACTTATTATCCCCACCTTGATAATTTAGAGAAAATCCAATATAATTTCTTTTTTTTTTTTCCTGGTTTTAGTTACATCCCAGGGAAGATGCTTGCATCCCCAATACAAACTATGGTGTTCTCTTAATAGAATTTTTTGAATTATATGGACGACACTTCAATTATTTAAAGACTGGCATCCGGATAAAGGATGGTGGTTCATATGTGGCCAAAGATGAAGTACAGAAAAATATGCTCGATGGCTACAGGCCATCGATGCTTTATATTGAAGATCCTTTACAACCAGGTATTGAAATTAGGTAAATTTGTGGGCATTCAAAGAAAGGGCACTGTCAGTATAGTCCTTTTACAAACTCTCTTTAGAGGAGGGACACTTGGCTGGCTCATTCGTTGGAGCGTGTGACTCTTGATACTCGGGGTTGTGAGTTCGGGCCCGAGGTTGGAGGTAGAGATTACTTAAATAAGTACATAAATCTTAAAAACAAACAAACAACAAAAAAAAAAAACAAAAAACCACCTCTTTCTTTAGATGAAGAATGAAACTTCTAATTGTACTTATTCTTTTTCATCAAAATATTTTGTAAGAAAACATATGAAAGCACACACATGCCAGAAAAACATGCCGCATACTCCTGGGGAGTTGGGAGTAGAGTCCATTTGACCCCAAGAGGCAAAGGAGCAAAGGTGTTAGCTGTTGGATGGATTTGGGCCTGTCTCCCGTTTGAAGGTCATTGTGTTTTCTTGTGTCCTCGTTGCCCCCTGAGTCCAGCCAGTTGTCAACCAGGGTTTCAGTGAGGTTTCTGAAGTCCTCCAAGACAGTGAGCATGGTAATAAGCCAGCTCAGAAAGGATGAGTGAAAGGGTTCAGAGAGACCATTTATTTTCTTTTTGGGCCCCCTTCTTTCCTCTTTTAATTTTATGTCTCCCTATGCCTTTCCCCAGCTTCCCATTGGCGGTAAAGGGAACAGCAGGGCCCTTCCTTGCTTTTAGGGGGTTATGTTTGTTTGCTTGTACTTTAGTTTCCCTGAGCAATATTGTTTCTTGCTGTAATTGTAAAATATTTAAATTCTATGTTATCAGACTTGAAGGGAGATGCTTTGAGTCATTTGCTTAACTGTTAACTTTGAAAATGGATAAGGAAAGGGAGTTATGAGAGAGAGTAGTTGTCTAGGGCTCTTTGCAGGCTTATTGTGCCATATTACAAACATTGATAGTTCTGCATGTTTATTCATTGTGGAAATGTTTATCGAGTGGCTTCTCTACATAAAGGGCACAAGGATTTTCACCAAGATGGTCCTTGCTCTTCAGGAGCTCATAATTTCATGCCAGAAATTTTCTGTTCAGGTAGCTAATAGAAACAAAAGATAGGGATGTCTCATTTTTTTTTGGTTTTACTCGTAGGAGACTGGGCAGGCAGTTAACTCCCTTTGTTTGCGTGACTGTGTGTGGGATAGTCCCTGTAGGGCCAAGATTCATTTAGACAATTTATATGCTATGACGTACTTACTGCATGGTACACACGTTCAGAGCCTGGGGAGTCGTGGGGATGACTGCCTGCCCAGACTCTCTGTGCAACTGTAGCAGGAAAGTAATTGCCCTTGCTCTTCCAGAAGAGGGCCCATGAGCATTTAGTTCTCATTAAGCAGTGGTCATGCCTACTCTCATCCGTATGTGTTTCTTTTAAAGGTAATGATGTTGGAAGGAGTTCATATGGGGCCATGCAGGTGAAACAGGCCTTTGATTATGCCTATGTTGTGTTGAGTCATGCTGTATCACCAATAGCCAAGTATTATCCCAACAACGAAACGGAGAGGTAAAGGCTTCACTTACATCAGCCTGTTGGGTCAGAATTGCGTGTGGCTTCTTGTCTCCGAATTAACATACCCCCCTCTCTTTTCTTTAAATGCATGCAGCATATTAGGCAGAATAATTAGAGTAACGGACGAAGTTGCCACGTACAGGGATTGGATATCAAAGCAGTGGGGCTTGCAGAGTGGGCCCGAGCCCTCGTGCAATGGTAAGTCTCTCCTTGATCGATCGACTGAGCATCAGTGGCTTTTCTGTGTTGTGTGCGTTTAATGGGAAGAAACGTTTTCCAATCTTTTGCCACTCTTTCAGGAAATGGTGTTACCTTGATAGTAGATACTCAGCAGTTAGATAAATGTAATAATAATCTATCTGAAGAAAATGAAGCCCTTGGAAAATGTAGAAGTAAAACTTCGGAATCTCTTAGTAAACACTCTTCAAACTCTTCATCAGGTCCAGTGTCTTCCTCTTCTGCCACACAGTCCAGCTCTAGTGATGTCGTAAGTATGAGGACATGGCTTTTCTGAACCTACACCCTGAGGAGTTCTCTTGGGGGGGGGTAACTGTGTATAGAGGGGCTAGGCCTAACTCTTTTTCTCATTTGTTACTGGGAAATTTTAGTGACTGCACTGATTGTACATGTCCCTAACACTGGGTTAAAATTTTCAAGCATACAACAAAAATGAAAGAATTTTATCAGATATATATATATATATCACCATCAGATTTTACCATTAACCTGTTGCTTGCTTATCCTATAGCTAGCCATTCACCCATCCCTTTGTCCGTAATTCATCTTATTCTTTGAAACATTTCAAAGTAAATTACAGGCATCAGTGCACTTCCTCCAAAGTATTGCAATGTGCTCCTCATTAAGCAGGGTTCATTAACCAGGGTTCAGTATTTAGTTTTTCCTTTTGATATAAAATTGAAATACAAGGAAATCTTAGTGATGCATCACTAAATTTTAACAACTGTATGCATGTGTGTAACCCCAACTATAACAAGATATAGACTGTTACCTTCATCCCAGAGAAGTCCTTCATGATGCTTTCCTGTCAGTCCCAAATTCTACCCCAGAGGTAACCACTGTTACGATTTTCTGATGCCTACAGGTTAGTTTTGCCTGTTCCAGAATTTCACATAAGTGGACTTATTATTAGTATGTACTCTTTTGCATAAGGTTTCTTCCACTCAATAATGTTTTTGAGCTTCTTGATTGAAGTTTTAAAGATTGAGATATAATTCACATATCATAAAGTTCACTATTTTAGAATGTGCAGTTAAGTGGTTTTCAGTGTCTTCACGTTGTTACGCAGCCATCATCACTGTCTGAGTCCCAGGACTCCAGAAAGAAACCTGTTAGCAGCCCTTAACAAGTCCTCATTCCCCAAGGCCCCTGGCAGCCTTGCTTTTGCTGTCTGTCTGACCCTAGCCCTGATTGAATTTTTAGTGTAAGGTATACCTGCAGTTATTTTTCCGTATCAGGGTTGATTTTGAGTTTACTTAATTGAGAAATAACATAGGCTTACCCGTTATTTGAATTTTGACTTTATTAAGTGTATGACATAAAGAGTAATCTATGGAAGGGAAATAATTTTATGTTGTTGTTGATGACCATGTGTCATAATGGAGTCCTCATTTGGCACAATCTACCTGTATGCCTTTTTGATTCCTAGAGCAGAGCTATGGTAGAGGACATAACTGAGCTAGATGTCACAGACATAGCGGGGCAGGAATAGTGATAGCCTCAAGAGGGAGCTGGAAGGGCCTAAGAGCTTGTACCTCTGAGATGCTGGGTAGAGTGTAACAGTGAAGGGTAGACCTGAAGGGAGATGTAGCCCAGTCATGGCCCTGGTAGCTCAGAAACAGGTGGGGCTCGACTCATTGTCTCCAGGAACTCCTTAACCATGTGGGGTATCTGGTTGGAGGGCTCACTGATTAGTTATCACAGACTTGGAGAAATTGAGCCCTTTGAGCCAATCCTTTCGGTTTTGATTGAGTCAGGGACCAAGGGTCTTTGCCATGCTCTTCCACTGTACCATGGTTCATTTCCTGTAAATAGATGTGCAGATAAACTTGGACCTCCATGAGCCCCGACAAGGCCAATGAACAAGGTCCGGGCATGGGCAATAGATGTAACAACGAACAGAGACCTATGGCTTTGAAATGTTTGGAGGAAAATTTGTGAAGGAAAGCTTAAGCAGTTAATTTTATAAATTCCTTGGGGTGCTTCCTTTAACTCCCAGATGTTTAAATTTAGTCCAGAGAGTACTTAGGTGAAGTTGTTTTCCCTCTTGATACTGAATTTCTAAATTATTAATATGTGACATTATAACTCATGTAACTTGTGTTAGGATTCCGATGCGACACCATGCAAAACCCCGAAACAGCTGCTTTGCCGTCCGTCCACTGGGAACCGAGTAGGGTCACAAGATGTGTCCTTGGAGTCCTCTCAGGCAGTTGGGAAAATGCAGAGCACCCAAACCAGTAACACCTCCAACAGCACCAACAAATCTCAGGTGTGTGGAATGTGTGTTTTGATAGTATTCAATACAAAATATCAAAATATTTACAATTTCTTACACATGAATATGTATGTATACATGGGTTTGAAGAAAACTCTGGGTTTAAAGAACAAACCTGTTTTTTTCTGAGAGGTTCCAAAGCACAGTGATTCTAGTAACAGGATGTCCTGGAGATTGTTATGAGACACCATTGTAACCTAAACCTTTGTGGGAATTTAATGACTGGTCCTTATCAGGTATCCCAGCCAAACCCACCTGATTGCAGATTCAGCATTTTAAAAAATCTCATTGAGTTATAAAAAGATTCAGTTGTCTTTGAATTAAGCTCACATGAAGCTTGGTGCATGACCTCATGGCAACATTGTATGTATCTGCAAGTAACAGATCCTTATTTATGTTTTAATGTTCAGTACCCAGTTGCTTGTATTGAAATGATCAGGAAGTGAGTGGTCCACCGTGGTCAGCCAATTTGTATCAGCTTTGACTTGAAAAGGCCACAGAGAATACTCTGTTTTCAGTTTTATGGTTGCCTAAAATTTTCTTAATCATGAATAATGAATCAAAACGAGGAAAGAAGCCATTTCGTACTGGGCTCTGACTTTCAGACCCCGGAGAAGGCCTCTTGGCAGTAGAGATGGTCTCTTAATGTTGTTGGTCCCCTCGTGTCTGACTTGACTCGCAGAATCCACTTTACCTATACAGCTTTCGTCAGGTGCACCACACACAGATCCATTTAGAAATGACAATGAAAGGGACAGAGAAGGAGAAGGAACAGCGAGTCGTGATGACCCCTGACCTGGCAGCGCACCTGTGGGTTTAGGCACTTCTTCCAGTAATGCCATTTATTATGTGGTACACTGGTGCATAGGTTCCTTAAAAAAAGTTTTACATTCCATGTCCTCTGTTAAGAAGTCAAGGTAGTATTCCAATATTTCCATTAAAAAAGAATGGAAAAGTTTTAGAGCTCAAGAGGGTGAATCCCTGGAGCATTGTTTTCTGCCTGCCAGATAAGTCAGCATATTCCTAGTTTTGCGGGGTCCCCAAGTGAGGTTTTATCAAGCGCTCTGTTGCATCCACAATACTAATGTCTCTTTGACCACTCTCTTTCTCTGCAGCATGGATCAGCAAGGCTCTTTCGTTCTTCCAGCAAAGGCTTCCAAGGTACAACTCAAACAAGCCATGGTTCCTTGATGACAAACAAACAGCATCAAGGCAAATCAAATAATCAGTATTACCATGGCAAAAAGAGGAAACACAAGAGGGATGCCCCCCTCTCAGACCTTTGTAGATAGTCGGCATCGTACGATGGACTGTCTTCTGTGTGCAATGATCTCATGCTCAGGACAGTTGGATAGGGACTCCTGGCATTCGGGAGCCTTACACTGTTCAGACTCTGATTTAGCAACTGCGTTTTTTCCCAGCTCGCCACGGAATGGATCATGAAGACTGACAACTGCAAAAACAAAAAGCAAGCAAAAAAGAGGGAAAAAAAAAAGGCTGCTCATTTGATAAGTCCTATGCTACAACAGGGTCATTTTAAGATTTAAAGCTTGAATGTAAAATAAATCTATTTCTCATTGGCTTTATGCAGAGTTCTAGGGGATAGTATTCAGTGTGGGTAGGGTGATAGAAACAAAAATCGATTTCAGAGGATGGGGTGGGGAAAGAAAACAAAACTATCTCATAGGAAGTCCAGACTCCAAAGGGGAAAGTGATCTGTGCATGTTTTCTTTTTTTTTAAATATTTTTGCATATATTTACCATTTTATTGTGTGTATATATAGATGACCATATAGGAAATTGATATTTGTAATAGTGGATTTGTTAATACTTTTTACATAACATTACTGTTTAAATTGTAAACAGATTTTTCTCAGGATTAGTTTGAAAAATAATCTGACTTGTCATCTTAACATCCATATATAGGGAAGTGATTAGTTCTATTACTCAATTTGTTTTCCTCAGCATTGAAATGACTTACTAGAACCCTTGTGACCTGCTGCAAAAATTTTTCCTCTCTAAAGAAAAGGTTTATGGTGGCAAATGATGTTTTATTTTGTAAAAAAAAAAAAAAAAGAAAAAGAAAAAAGAAAAGAAAAAAAGGAGAAAAAGAAAAAAAAAGAAAAGAAAAAAATGTACTATGTACTTTTGTGTAAACACTGAAAAATCTCTAGTCCTCTCTAAGAATTACCTTGCAACTGTTTTCTATAGTGCTGTCGTCTTGGGCAATGGGCAATTACATGACTTTGTGTTTGTTTCCTTTGCAGTCTTTTGTTTGTTTTGTTTTTCTTCCTAATAGGAAAAAAAAAAAAAAAAGCCACCCGCGTCCAGTCCCATTCCTGTTGCAGTGAATCCCCGAGTTCCACAGACTTTGCATGCTGGCTCTTCTAACCCTGCGTGCTGTGTGTGCTTGTTTTCTCATCTCTTATTCTTTTTTAAATTCATGCTTAACTACTGTGGGAGAGAATAACTGTAAACAGCTTTAATTAAATCATACTTATAAAAAACTATTTTCTTATACTCCACTTTATGCTTTTGGTATTGTTGATCTTTAAAAATTAAATGGTCTTTGATAATGGATCTATTTTGTATTGCCTTATTAAGACCAAATACTTCTTGTCATCCCATTCTTTATCCTCTCCTTCCATGGAATTGTTATCTTTAATTAAAACTTTTTAAAACATTGGCTTGTTTCAATCATACTGTAAATTTTGGTTGTGGTCAGCTTTGAGCGCAAATGAGATGTATAATTCTGTTATCCATCACGTGTTGAGTTTGAAACTCGGGAATATTGAATATAATAGGATGTAAGTGACATTTCTGAAAATGCTTTCTTTCAATGTGAAAGCTCTTATGTTTTAGCATCAGTGTGTGTGGCTCTGTTAATTATAGCCATTTCTGAAATGAGATTCTTTTTATATACATATATATATATACACACACATATATATATATATATACACACATATAAAGTACTATTGGCTTTTAGGAATTTCTTTTGTATACATTTATGAAATACTGAAGACCAATCAGATCATTAATGGACACTTAGTGCAACTTTTTATAAAGAAAATAATGCTAAAGTAAGATCAAAACTGATGTCATCACTGAAATTAACAGTTTTCAATATGTTCGTATTTTAATTCACAGCGGAAAAAATATGTTCCACAACTGGAAACTCCTAATACTTGTGTAAACCGTGGAAAATTTTAAATGTGATGTTATTTTGACAATGTTTTAAATTTTCGAGTCACATTTTATTCTGATTAGAATTTTTATCAAGATGTTGAGCTTTTGTTCTTTGAAACTAGTTTGTCATAACATATTGTGCATAATCACAGTATTTATTTCTAGGACTATTGCAAACGTGTAGACTGATGTTTACCGCTAAGGGAACAATTATTTATAAAATAATATTAAATCCAGTATTAGCTGCCTATTTCAGACACTTAATACTTGCAGAGATCCATTGTTACATTTACCACACTGAAGTTCTTTTTTGTTGTTTTGTTTTGTTTTGTTTCAAGAATCACCCTCATTGTTGAAAGTAAATGTACTCTTAGGGTGCAGATATTAGCGTTCCAATAAGCATGTGATTATATTAAGGTGGTGGTAGCGGGAAGATAATCTTGATTCCATTGGGAATCTTAGGTTTTCGTAAATTTATTGGGAAAATAGTTTTTCCTGTACTGCTGAAGTTTCTTTTTGGTAAACAGTATCTTTCTAAAAGAAAAAGCATGAAGGAGAAATTGAGGTGTGTACATATCCTCAAATGACCAGCATTGTATTCGTGAATACTGTGTATCTTGCAATGAACAGTGTGGAAGCTGTTCATTTTTCAATCTGAAGTAAAAATACTTTCAAGAACATTTAGTTTGCCTGCTCATTTGTTTTTGTACATTTCATCTCTGTATTTGACTCCTGTCTTTTTTCTTTTTTGAGTTCCAACACTTTCTATAAAGATTTTGTGAATATATCAGAAACGTGTCATTTAAATATTACAGTCCATCCATATTCATGAGTCATAACCTTCCTTTGCTCGTACTTATAGAACGGGACCTTACAAATGCTGCCTCACTGTGGCGACATTTCCTCTGGCAGTCATATAATTGTGCCTGTTTGGTGTCGAAGCTCCTTGAAGAGTCATAAAAAACATTTCAGTACTGGTTTTAGAAGTGCTGTTGGGTCGTGGACGTGTCAGCACCAAACCTGAGTGGTTAGGTTTTGATGACGAAGGTAAATGCATTTCTGCCCTCGAGTTTTAAGGTGTCCACCGAAGGTGACTGGTTTTTAGTGTCTTTGTCTTGTTTGGAGATGTTGGACGTGGTTTTCAAATCTAGCTTTGATCTTGGGATCTCCCAGTTTTATGTGGCTTTGCCCTCCAAGCTTCAACAGCTGATCATACTATTTTTTTGTCCTAACTTCAGTGTGTTTTACCTTTACTTGCATTTTGAGCCCGTCATTCAAACTTGGGTTCATTGCTTTTTGGCTCCAGATAGCCCTGGGTTTAAAGTCTTCACAGGGTAAAAACATACGTGCTAAGGAGAGCATTACTAATAGTCCTTTTTTTTTCCTCTGAAGTCTTGTATCTCCAAGTGTTTTCTCATTCCCTCCCCCGCGTCCTGGTAAGTGTGAGCTGTGTTTGTCTTAAACTATGGACTGGTGTCTGGAGTTTCCAGAGCTGTAGGTGGGCCAGGAGAAGCCACGGTGAGCTGCAGACCCTCTTGCTTCTGCACTGTCCTCAATGCAGAGACCTCTCCATTGGCTAGGATGTAGTTACCAAGGTTACTCTGTAGAAATCTCTAGAAGTCACCATTATCAGGTATTACTGATAAGTTGTGTTGGTATTCGTACTGTTCATGGCTATGTGTCTGTTTTATTTTAATGTTGACATACAGTTTGAAACTTCGGTTCCTTCAGTTAAAACATGCTGTTGATTTTGTAACGTCTCAGTCACAAACTGGGAATGTTGATTAGGGGATCAGTTGCTTCTCAGTGAACTTTTCAAAAATTAAGTGGTAACATATAATAAAGACATTCCCAATTTTGCTGTGATAAATACGGAAGCGTTAAATTAACGATCAGAAAAGTGTATTCCTATCCATCAGTTCTTGCTCTCCAAGCTCATTAAAGTGCTTTGATTAGTGGTGAGCAACATCTTCATCAACTATTTCGTCAGCAAAGTATTCCATAAGTGGCTCTATTGAGCTTAATTGAGTAGAAAGTTATACTTAATAGTCCCTCTTTATTCTAGTTTTCACCAGTGGCATAATTCATGTAGCGAAATACTTAGAGAATGATGTAGCATCACAGTGGAAACAAAGATGTGTAAAAACTGTTCCTTGGAAAAGTGTCTGTCTCGTGCCTCAGCTTCTGAACCTCAAGACTATTTTGCCAATACATTTATGGGCGGAAAAAATGTTACAAGAACAAATTATAATATGCTACATGATATTTAATATAACTAAGAGACAAGTCCGATTTTACCATGGAAGTTACTTGTGTGACTCAAAAACGATGTAACCCAAGAAGCCAACTTTTCTCTACCATCTTCTTGGGAGCTGTTTTAACTTGACACCTTGGGCAACTGTTTTTTTTTTTTTTCATCAAAGATAATGACCTAAATATCTGTATAAATCAAATGTTGACAGAATTATTAACCTGGAGAATTCTCCAAGTATAAGCTCTGCTGATCTACTTGATGCCCAGAATTAAATATTTACCTAAGAGCAGTTTCTAGTTCATATGCTGCTAATGTTTGTTTTACTCTTATGCAGGTTTTGTGATTTTAAGTGTTTGGCCTTTACATTTTCTACTTAAGTATATGCCTTATTAAATGTAACCTAGTCCATAGTCTGCTAGGCAGGAAGAGGTAACACTGTAGGAGAGATTGAGACAGAGAGAGAGAGAGAGAGAGAGAGAAAACGCATCCCATTTGTATTTAGGAACTTGAGGTATCTTCTGGGTTTACTGAGAGGGATGTTAGTTAGCCACATCACTAAGAACAGACGATAACAGGCAATCTCTTAATTTGTGTATTTCAGCACAAGTGTTTATTTTGCATTTCAGTGTAAGTCCTTGTGCTTCTATACGGCCTTGGCTACTTGTTGCAGAAGCTTCCATGTGGCTACGAGGCCAGGGCTCCGCTAAGGAGACAGTCTGGATGAATTTGTTAGAAGTGGTATTCAACCTTAAAGATGCTGTAGTAATGACAGATTACGAAGTATCACAAGCTGGTCATTACCAGGATCGTGAGGTGGGGTGGGTGGGGGAGACAGGCCTAGGAGAAGCATGATCTAAATCAGTAACTTGGTGAAGCTAATTTAGCCCTCACCTCTCATGGATGAGTCAGCCGTACCTTCTGAAGGGAGTGAGATTATTGGTCATCAGCCAGATTTTTTTGAGTTTAAATTTATCTCACCTCTCCATTTGGGTTCTGTGCAGCCCATGGCTGTTCCCTACATCGTTTCTTAATTACCTTTTATATGTGGTTGCAGTTTCTCCTAGTCCTGTCTCTTGGTCCCTAAAACCGCAATCTCTAAAATTTAAGATCCCTCTCTGATTTTTATATATTTAAATTTAAAGGAGTCACTTAAAAAAAAAGTCTTTCCAAAGTCCCGTAATCTGAAAATAATCCGAAGATTTATGACAAGTATCAGAGTCTTCACTGCACTCACCACTAAAAAACACTGTCTTACCGCATGGTGTGAACGGTGAAAGTGTAGTTTCTGGATATAAAATGTGAAGGGCAATTGAGGTAAACATTTTTTAGTGGAATTTACATAGATGTATATATTTAGAAGTCTGGCGAGTTAGTGTTTGTTTGTAATAACCTTTTCATTTATTTCCTTCTTTGATTAGCATTGCCTTCTGTGTTAAGAAATGCCGACTCCTGTGAGGTGCTGGAGGTTTGAATCATCTTGAAAGCTTTCCAATCTTGTCTAGTTACCGCTGCAGAGGCACTAAGGAATTTACCAGAAAAAGAGATTTGATACAAATGATATATGAAATCTCGACATTTCCTGAGGTCATATCCTGGGCACCAGTTATCAATACTATGAATGAATTGCACACCTGGAAGCTTTTTTTTTTTTTTTTTAAGCTATGACACTTTCTTCAAAGATGTCAATTGTTTGCCTTGAAAATTTTATAAATTGCATTTCTACGCACATCTGCCCCCAGGGCTTACCATTGGGCTTAGTTTATTACTCATAATCTGCGATTCAATAAAGGCTTTGTGCTTTCATTTATCTTCAGAACCTCTGGTTTGAACCTTTATGTAAAACTTGAGTGGCTATTAAAAAAATTATCTTGTAATTCTAAAGGTGGCCCTCTTCAAACTGATGAGAGGTTTTTTTTTTCTTGTACGTAGCATTTCTGTGCGTTTTTAGCCTTTTTAAAGCCAGTAGTGGAGTGGGAGATGCTGTATTTCTCTTGCCCGGGTCCTAGCCAACGATAGCCTTTGCTTCCTCCGTAGCCACTGCGGGAATGAAACCGATCCCCTATAGTCTGTTATTCCCAAATACCAACCTAGTTCTATCCTTTGCTTTAATGCAAAGGGTTATGCTTGCCGTCCTAAGAAGTTGTAATACTTGACCATAGGTTTTGTGGATCGACAAGTTGTGCACACTGTTACAATAGAATGATGAAAATGGTTCTCCAAAGAACAGAGAAGCCGAGTTCATAACCAAGTGCAACCAGAGCATGTTTTCCTGAGGGAGGAGTGGCAGTCCTAGGACTTGGACGGATGGTGCTTGCCTGGAACCCAGCTGAGTGGTAGTGAAGAAAACCCTGGATAGTTTGTTTCAAGATCATCACAAGCTAAGTTGGAGGGAAGAGTAGCTCAGCAGTTTATAGACAACTGTCTGGTAAAGCCAGCCTGCCCCTCTGGCCTGGTCTCTTACTTCTTGCATATTGACTGGAAATTTTTTTTTTTAAAGGTACAATTAAAATATCCTGTTAGCATTCCAGAAGTTTCTTAAACGGTAAAATTGAGAACGAACTGAATATACAGGATAATTTTGTCCATCTGCCCAGACACAGTGAATTTACTTAAACTTCTCAACTAATTGTGAAGAAGTGTAAATAATACCTAATTATCTAAATGAAGGGATCTGGTTGCCCTTTACCCTCTCATCCCACCTAGCTCCCCAGAGCTAACCACTTTCATATTTTGGGATGTAGCTGCCTAGATTTTTTTCAAATGCATTTACATCCATAAACACCTGCACATACATAATGTCAGGGGGTCTTTTGCCCTTTTACCTGAGTGGTATCATACCGCGGTACTCTGTACCCCCCCCCCCGCCCCTCTAGAGAGCTCTCATCCTGTCAGTACAGAGCAGATCTGTTTCATTCCTTTTTAGGATGCTGCCTTCCGCTTGCAAGTAGCTTTAGTTAACTAACATGTCAGTTACCCCAAAGCCCTTATAAGCTAATATGTTAGTGAAATATTCAGTACTTCAGCTTATCTCAAACAGGGGTTTTATTAAAGTATTGCTATTTAGGGATGCCTGGGTGGCTCAGCGGTTGAGCTTCAGCCTTCAGCTCGGGGTGTGATCCCGGTCCTGGGATCGAGTCCCGCATTGGGCTCCCTGCATGGGGCCTGCTTCTCCCTCTGCCTCTGTCTCTACCTTTCTGTGTGTGTGTCTCATGAATAAATAAAATCTTTAAAAAATAATAAAGTATTGCTATTTGATGGCACTTCTCCTTCTCAACTGAGTTTTCAGAGAAAGTTTTTTCCCCCAGTTTTATCTTCTTTTAGGTGAGTTTTCATGAATTGCTTTAATAAATATATCTTTGAGACTTTTGCTAAGATTGAAATGTAAACACAACATGGTCATCTGAGACTTTTTTAGAAAATGTTGCT